CCAGCCTGAGACCCAAGAAGAGCTGAGATCATCAACCTGAAAGGGATGGACTGGGAAAAGGAGGGCAAGGGGAAAGAAAAGGGGTTTGGGCGCGCGCAGGCTTTTAGTTTTGGCAATAAGTTAGAACTGTAGACTGCTTCTCAATAAAGCAATTTTCTTTGAATTCATTCTAAGATTCACTGAGATTTACTTTTATTGGGAACTGAGTTTGGCAGATTCTTACAGAAGCTTCTGAATACTCTTCAGGGGCAGCCCCATGTACAGCACGTTACAGTAGTCCAATCAGGACTACTACTACTTATTGTTGTTGTTCTGCCTCATCACAAAGGAACTCAGATGACATACAAAAACTTTTAAAAATACAGGTAATCCTCGCTTAACAGTGGTAATTGGGACTGGCAACTCTGTCACTAAGCGATGCGGTTGTAAAGCTTGATGCCATGTGATGATGCTGAGTTACACCAGCAGTTGTGGCAGTTCCAGTGCCATTGTTAGGCAAATCCCATGTAGTTGTAGCATCCCACGATCATGTGGTCACCATTTGTGACTTCCTGCCAGCTTTCCCGTTTGATTGTCAGAAGCCGGCAGGGAAGGTCACAAATGGTGATCACGTGACCACTGGATGTTGCGACCGTCGGAATTACAAGTCAGTGACCCAAATTGCGATCATGTGACTGTGGGGATGCTACGACAGCTGCAACTATGAGGACCGGTCATCCCGCTCACTCAGCGCTGTCTTAACTTTGAACATTGCTGAACGAGTAGTCGTTCAACAAGGGCTGCCTGTACATCACACAAACCAATGTTGTCAGAAGGGAAAGACAAGACACCCCATCAGGGAAATGCAAAAAGAATTAAAATACTGAGCTTCTAATGCAGGTTCATGGATTGCTCTGGTTCAGGGGCTGTTGCAACAGCTGTATTTTTAAAGCTCTCCAAAAAGACAGCTGGGCTGGGTCTAGGCAAAGTTTGGGGAGAAGACTGTCCCTTCCTTTTTTTGAACCGGTTCTCCTCCTTCTCTTCACTGAACTGAATGGAACTCCCTATCCACTAAAAATGCCTCTTGAGTTGTGTTTCTCTCTCTCCTTGCAGGATGTGGAACGCATTTGGTGCTGTTAGCTTGTATGCCGATTGCATAGTATCAGTTCAGATGCCTTAGCTGAAGATCTCTGTGTTAGTCTTTAAACTGTTAGTTGTCTAAGATATCTGTGTAAGCCTGGAGACTGTTGATTTTAGAGATTTTAGTATGAAGAGATTGTTTGATTACCATATATACCCTTAGCATTAAACATTCATTATATTGATTGGGTACTAATTACTATCTTATATTTGGACTTTTTTAATACAGTTTAATAACTTACAATGCCTAGTCCCAGTAGAATGGGTGCTGTAGGAAGCTCCAATTCATTTTTTTTTAAAAAAGACTTGCTAATATAGCTAATAAATGTTGACCAGATTTGAATAAAATGTATCCTCGTGACTTTTTTCCAGAATTCTTTGTTGTCTTGCTATTTCATACAGAACCATGCCCCATACTTTTGCATATGTAGATCGGTGATCTAATATTTATTTATGTATTAAACTAACTTTAATAGCCACCCAGAAAGAACATCAGGAACTGAAACAATTTGTTGCACTGCTTCAATTCATACGCTTTAGGAAATATAAAACCCAACAGTGGGATTCATTATAAAGATTATGGGGTGATTTCCCCAATTTGTTCAAAAACTTTCAGACCAAAGGATGGTTAATTGGACATGGCCAATAAAGAGGGTAAAATCTGCACATTTGCTTGTAATCCCTTCAAACAGCCTAGGAAGGTCATAATGAATATGATACAATATGGTGCCATTTGGAATAATATGATATAATATGACTAGAGATGACTTTGGACGTGGGCGTGAAGTTGTGCGCTCCTGAATTCAAGCGGGCATTTTCCTGGGATTGCATCGCTGCGTCTGCCTTCCGATCCCACATGCATCAAATCTGTATATAAAACCCATTGATGATTTTCATAGCCAATTCCGGAGTCCTGAAATAGATCTCAAGCCAGTTTTTGATGGTGGGTAATACTTTCTTGTTCCCAGAGTGTGTGTATGGGGGCAGGGGGGTGGAGGAGAAGCAGCTTATCTTTGAAAAGAAAAGCACCCCCCCAAAAAAAAATCAGGTAGGCTTGCTAACACACTCATGTCCCAATCTTGGGTTTGAGAAGGTGCATATGAGAAGGTGAATGCACAATGATTTCTTTTGTAACTCCCAGAGTCTGCTTTCTCTGCAGGACTGTCCCCAGCTGCTGAGAGCCAACAAGATCTTGGTCCCTGTGGATGTGATCAAGCCGATCACACTGAAGGCCAAGAACTTGCCCCAACCGCAGTCTGGCCAACGGGGCTACGAATGCATTATCACCATCCAGGGCATCGAGAAGCGAGTGCCTGCATTGAGATTCAACAGTTCCAGCGTCCAGTGCCAGAACACTTCCGTGAGTAAGCTCCATCAGCAATGGAGGGGAGAGCAGGGGCTCTGTGGGAAAAATCAAGGTGGCAGCTGGGACGGTTTGGTCAAAGCCCCATCTCATTTTTTCCAGTAAAAAAATTATTTAACAATA